TTGCAATTGACTTTTATTTATGCCATTTGTAGCGGACTGCTACTTTATCAAAGGCCGACTGACTCAGAAATCTCTATGGCGGATCCTCCTACATCTAGCTAGACTCCCAGAACCAGCTAAGCTATAGCAGAGCTATGAAAGGAAACAGACGTGTAGCACGGAGCACGTTTATTCAGGATGTATATTGCGGATCAAGTGTACACGCAGGAAGCTTAATCATGATCAGGATGATGGATTAGGTTAAACAAACAGAGGTTAATGATTGATCACTGTTTGTACGGTTGCACCTCCCAATCCTGGCGTGCAGGCATGCGATGACGTTCCCGCACATTTCAAATAGGTTCATTTGAAGGAAGTCAGTTACACCTTAATTCTCCTTAAATGCATATTTAACGATCTATATTAGAAAGAAGAAATCTTTTATTTTATTAATTTTAATCATTAGAGAACAACGGGACATTCGAGTAAGCAAAATGTACTTAATAAGGGATCAAGTAGGATTATGTAACACGATCATGATATTTCGCCTTTTGAATGAGTTAAATTCTGGTAGAAATTAGCTTGTAAATCCTCTTAAGAGGTATTACTCACCTAAATGTCCTAAATCTGGATTTTCCCTATTTGATTCATGGTTGTCTTCATGACCTCACATCCGCCCGTGAAATAGTTGGGCACGCCACTACGATTCACCCGTATCATTTAACACCGCCGAGTAGATTGACAAGTCCTTTGTGTCAACGTCAATTCAATCTGTAATTTACGACAACTTGTAATTTTAACAAGGCTCCTAAGCCTTCCAAGCGCTAATTCTCGCCAAGGGCAACTTTTGGTAGCACTTATTTTCGAAGATTCGGGGTGCTCGACAGACTTACCTCCACGTAGTGCACCCTGGGCAACGTATACTTATACGGCAAAAAAGTCTATTGATCGACAGTTGACTCCTGACTTCAAAATACCATCACTTTAACTGGCAGTTGACTTCTGACTTCAAACCACCATGACCTCACTAAACTGGCAGTTGACTTCTGACTTCAAATTGCCATCACCCCAAAACCGGCAGTTGACTTCTGACTTCAAACTACCATGACCCCCTGGGTAACGTATACTCATACGGCAAAATCTATTTGTGCGCCCTGGGCAACGTATACTCATATGGCAAAAAAGTCTATTACCTACGCCCTGGGCAACGTATACTCATACGGCAAAAAGTCTATTAATATGGCTATTGACTTCTGACTTCAAACTACCATCACCCCATTGTATGGCAGTGACTTCTGACCCCACTGTATGTCATATTCGACTAAGGCAGTTGACTTCTCACTTCAAACTACCACCACCTCATGCACTATGGGCAACGTATACTCATATGGCAAAAAAGTCTATTAACCTGCAGTTGACTTCTGACTTCAAACTACCACGACCCCCAAACTCCTGACTTCAAAATACTATGGCCCGACTATTTGTCATATTCGACCCCTTCCATAGTACCCATTTTACCTTTTTTATGCCTTTGTGTCTGTCAGTCTGGATGTCTGTTTCTTTTACACCTGTGAATCAATCTTCTGTTCCCCCTCTCGACTTTTTGTCACTTTGATGTTCCTTCTCCTCTCTGTGAAGCCCCGAAGTCAGCTTCAGGGCTAATGATAACCATCAAAACGCCTGTCATTTGATATAAATTTCAGGGACAGTTTCACTGTGGTCTTTGAGCTCTTCTGTAAGCAAATGGGACCAATGGACATTCTACCGCAACAAATCTCATTGCAAAAATTGTGAAGAATATCAGACAGTCAAATAAATAACTAAGATAAAATTGATTTTCATTGAATTAATTAATTGGCATCATGAGTAAAAAAACGGATGAGAAATTTTTTTCATTCTCCAATTCTTATTAAAATTTAATTATGCCTCAACTGCGCATAAGGCGTGTGGTCATCTAATTTGATAACCTCTGCATTTTATGTCTACAAAAAAGCTCTTTCACAACAAAGTCTATTGAGAAAAATTCTTTCCACCTTGCAATTAGATAATAGCATTTAATCTAATTTATAGTGCTAGTACGACGTATAAATGTAGTTGAATAATAATAGGATTAGAAATTTGAGTCCTTTGTAGAGTTTTGCAGTGTTTGGTTTTTTCAAGCCGAAACTTGTAGTTGGTGTAGAGGAATGTACTGTTAATGACAACTATCTGACATTAGAAATTACAATCCTATAATAACGATCAAAGCTCATTATGAAATTATTTAAGGTCAAATTGGAGGCTCTCTTTAGAGAAACTGGCATTTGGCTATTCAAATAAGTGAATTTACACCGATAAGTATTGATCTCACAAACAATGACAAGCCGAACAAGCTGACACCGTTCGCATTATTAATACTCTTGGAAGTACGCATGGGACGATTTTCATTAAAGTATAATCAAAATGTTCTTGTAGGCAATAGATAGACGAATAGACTAGACATAAACTGGAGTCTAAAAGTATTATGTTGCCCAATTTCCATATATGGGGTGCGATTCCCATTTTGATATCCACGAGTTGAATCGATTTTCAGCTTGTAGCCAGCTTGATTTAATTTAATGATTTTTTAATATTTTTAGAAATGAATAGATTGCTGATACATTTCAAACAACATAGCTCTGTTGAAGCACAAGATAAGAGCATGCTGCTGTTGCTAGGATGTCTCCTATGTCAATCCACTGATCACATGCCCCTATCTCGCCCTCTACATTATGTTTCGCAAGATCAAAAGGCTAGAAAGTGCCTGAATCGTTCATTTAAGAATGCGAAAACATGTAACTATGTTTAGGAGGGTCCCAAGAAGAACGAAACCGGTGTCTTAGTTAATCGTCAGACCGCCAAATGCACAATTAATTGTTCATCGACTTGAGTAGAACTCTACTAACTTTTAACTGCATTTGTATTTGCTCAGCAAGTGAACCACCAAAAAGTGATTGATTTGCGTTCAATCTATAAGAAGCGTAGTCTTGAAATTATAACTTCACTTTTAAACAAAAAGTAATCACAGCTCTCTCTCTTCAAATTTTCGAACATATTTTATAGGAGACAAAATGACACCCTCTTTCATTTTAGTCAAATTTGCACTTATGTAGTACTATTGATGACAAATAGTAGTATAGTTTTTAATCTTGACGCTTAAAGCCACCCCCGATCACAGATTCGTCATTTACGATTTTCCCAAATGCAATTTATTCATTATCTTATTATTTAGATAGCTCCAATCACGCCGAATTTAATAACAAAAGCCTTAAAACTAATCTTTAGCGTCTCATAAACACACCTTTTCAATTATTGCCTTAAAAAATCTGCCTATTTGAAATACATCAATTTTTTTTGCCAATTGTTTAGTCGTTAGCGTCTCTTTAGATAATTCAATTGTGAACCACAACTTGGTAGGGGGTTAAGTCTCGTTGCAATTGTAGGCATGCGTACTAGTTTTTTTGTAATAAACTAAGTCTGAAATGCTTTAGCGCTGTTATGGCTACAAATTTCCGAAAAAGAGTTTCAATAAGGGGGTTGCTGGAAGAAGACTTTCATCCAAAATGTTGCATGTGTTAAGAGTGGATAGCAGCATCACTTTCATCTTTAAGATTTGCATGGGCTTAATCTAACTAAAGCTCGCATTCCCTATTTTACCAATAGCCAAGGTATTTTAGTTGACAACAGGCCATACAAATTTTAAATTTGGGGTGCGTAATAGACTTACCTCCACGTGGTGCACCCTGAGCAACGTATGCTCATACGGCAGAAAGTCTAGTAACTGGCAGTTGACTTCTCACTTCAATCTACCATCACCCCACTCTATGTCATATTCCAATACTTCCACAGTACTCACCTCACCTTTTCCCACTTTTGTGTCTGTTTCTTTTACATCTTTGAAGCACTTTTCTCTTCCCTACCGCCCCCCCCTTCCCGACATTTTTCACTTTGATTTTCCTTCCCTTCTGTGAAGCCTGAAGTCAACTAAAGGGCAAATGATATGAATGAATTTTAAATTTTGTTTCCTTTTCATCCGATTCTTTCATGATAGAACTCTGTGAAGGCAATGCGGATTGCAAAAAAAGTTATTGCCATCAGGATTGCCTGCTTAGTGTCTAATCCCTTCAGTAAAATCAAACAAAATCGGTTTTATTCACCGCGTAGCAATATGTGAAGTGTTGTATATATATGCAGTATATACAGTATATGCTAAATAGCCACGCAAAATTGCCCATGAAAACCAGAACTCAATGCTTACACTGAATTAGGCGAGGGCACGAACGCTGCAATTTAACGCGATTTTTAGCAAATATTGATTTTTCTTTCAATTCTATTCAATAATCCGTAATCGATTGAAAACGCGCGACTGGAAACGAATGTTTGCTCTCTAAAACTGAGCAGAGGTGGTGGTGGTGGTGGTTGGTGGGGGGGGGGGGGGAGCCTTGTGGAGCCAAATTCTAGACTACTTGATGATGATGTCATTCACACCGTTGAATATTTAAAAAGGTATTCTGCTCAGATAAGGACAATTTAGGCCAAGAACTAATAATTTACTACAATCATTTAATCTAATTCTTTTCAGTTATTGTTGAGTGAAAATTTGTTGCGCTGTTTCCCTAATAATAGTTGCATTAGCATATTCAGCGTGTAGTTAATACATTAACGAAAGTCAGAGGCTATAATTTTTATGGAATAAGTAGGATTATAAAGGAAAGAAATTCCCCGAGGAGCTAAGTCAATACGTTTAAACCATCGTGATATTTTCTTGAGGCAATTGATTTTTTAAATGAGCTAGATGTTAAAATTCTACACGGAAAACTGGGGACGTCTTTGCATTCAGTAAAGGGAAGGAGGAGGAGGTGAGGGGGGAGGAAGAGTGGAAAAAGCAAGTTTGGGTCACATAAGGGGTGGAGTAGAAATTGGCGTAATATACGGAAGCAGATAAAGAAAGAAGCATTAAACGTATGATCAAATAGAGGTTTTAGGTTTGTTCATTAGCTCTTCTATATGATGATTTTGAAGTCATTTCTCATTGCAGAAGGACCGATGTCGTTTCGAACAATCGGCCTATCCACAAGACGGTCACATTTGATAATTGGGCCTACATACCTCTCCCCATCAGCAAGGATCTAAAATTGGTACGATAAATATGGTTATTCAACACTCTAATATTTCAAAAAAATGATAGGTATTTAATAAGTCACCTCTATGTAGTAGGTACAAGAGAAGTCATCAACGGCGACAGAAGGGGTAGTGGAGCTAATATAATTGTCCAAGTCGTAGTGGCTTGAATCCCACTCAGTCTTGGGAACCAGAGGTTGTGTCTTCAAATTGTCTTGGAACTTTCTGAGGACTTCGTTAGATTTGCTTGAAGTATCTTTTGTAGATCCCAAGTCTGCAACTGTCGTCCTATCATTAAGACCGATTTGGGGACACCTGACAATACGTATAACAGTAGCATGAACTTTCTTTGGCTTGTCGTAACCTCCTTCTTGTTTATTGTAACCCACGGAGTAATCGAATCCTTCTGTATCGTTGAAGTACTTGTTAAACAACTACGGGGGGATGGAGATAGACAATTAAAAAGGCTGATAATGTAAAACCTCAGTACCCGGCTATAAATTTACCAAGAGATCGTAGTTATTGTCGCGATCAGCATAGCCAATGTTTCTTTCTCCGAGTGCTGGAACCTTTATGGGAACCCGACCGGTTCTTTCGAGATTATTTCCAATGCGTACTGCAGCTTCAGCCGAGTAGCTAAAATAATAAACTAAATGAAAGAATTCATTTGGAAATCACTACTTAAATTCATTTGAGTAGGATTACTTGTTGATGACTGTTTTGCCATCAAGAGAAGCGTAGATGAAGGAGGGAACTTGATTTTCAGGAACAAAGAGGTCAAATTTAACTTCGTTTGCGCCTGCTGGAAGAGTTATTCTCTTTGGAACGGTTTCAATCAGATCGAAATCACTTGGAATGGAACGAGGAGGCTCTTGGGTGGAACTTGATGGCGCATTTTCATCATCGAGAATATTAAGTGCTGGCCTACGATTTGGAAGGAGTTTCAACTCTGGCGTGATTCCCCTCTCATCAAGTGGTTTCTGAAAGACAAAATGCTTGCCGTTTGATTGCCTTCGATAGAATGCACCGACCAAAAGCCATGCAAACTTACAACAAAAACGTCGCCTTTTGGAGTTGTCTTAGCGAGGGTCTTGTTAATATCGATGTGAATGGAATCGATGGTAGCGGGTTTCTTTAAGCTGAAGAACACTCGACCTGGTATAATGCGATTTTCTTGAACCTCACTCTGTCTCAACTCAATGCGCAATTCATTAATGTACTCGTGGTTGGGTTCTATAGTCCATGAGCTGTAGACTTCCCATGGCTGCGTATCGCTAGTTGCGAAGCTTAAATCTTCCTCAGCACGCTAAAATAAATGCATAAATAAATGAATGAATAAGCGAAACATCAACGCAGCAATTTTTTTAGTGAAAACTCACATCTCTAAGACGTTCCTTGAAAGTTTCTGAAATGTGTCAGGTTGATGGTGGTTAGAGTTATGCCGCATTTTGAAATAAAATACTAAAGCAAATATTATAACTATACCCGTTGTGACCAACATCTCCATTAAACGATACTTAGGAGCATATGTTCTTTTGTCATGCTCGGGTTCTTCAACTATAATTAAGGAATAGAAATAATGACGAAAAAAGGAGATTTTTCATTTTTTTTTATTTTGCAAGGTAAAAAGCCTTACGTGGGAAAAAGATGGGTTCGGCTCCGAGCGTTTCATATTTTGGAGTATAAGAACCTAAAATTTTCAAATAAATTGGATACCAGACAGTGTAGAATGGGTTATCAATATCTGCAATGGAACATACGCGCTTTAGGGCCTTCTCTGTCAACAACCAATGGCTTTTGGAAATTTTTATCCCTACCTAAAATTTAATTGAATCTCAAGCTATTATATTTTTATTTAATGCAATGAAATCCAAAGGTTATGCTCACTGATATCCGTATGCCCGACAATTGCCTTATTTGGTGTAAGTGCATCTCTGCCTTCTGCAAAAAGGAGAGGATCACATTTACTACTTAAAAAATTCAGTACGGTCCTATTAACTATATTAATTCAATAAAACGAACCGATTTCTTTCACTGTTTGGAATCTTTTCTGTATTGGTGGGCCGACATTAATAGGAGGTTGAGTCATTACTAAGATAGCACGAGAAAGGTTTTTTTCAAATTTATTGAAATCACGAAATCATAAAAATTCAAAAGGGCATTCCTACCTGCATCGGGGCGGGCACTTTTCACAACAGCCTCAACAGAAGCTCTCCTTTTTCGCGGTTCTAGAACGTTAATGAAATCATCAAGCTTTGAATTTCAAACAAATTTTTTATAAATAAGGAATATTATATATATATATATTTTAATTAGTAGATGGTTCGAAAATATTGCCATTGTATAAAATGAGCCAGAGGGGATTTTTGAGGGGAATTGATGTATTTATTTATTTATTTTCATTGTTGGATGATAGTTTTAGAGACGGATATTTTTATTTCTAGGTGCTGGATAATTCGAATTTGAGAGACACTGATATTATTATTTTCAGAAACACCACACACTCAAAGATACCTGAATACATTACATGACGATCTATTAAAGAAGAATATTTAAAAAATTAAAAAATTAAATTAATAAAATAATTTGATTGTGTAATTACTTCAAACTTTGAAAGTTAAGGGCGCTTAATTTTCAAAAGCACAATTCAGTCCTTTTTTCACAAGGCTCTCAATTGCTATCTTTGCCAGAAAATTTAATTTTACAAGTATTCAATAATAGAAATTATGATATCGTAATGTGGTTTTGTGTGCAAAATTGAATTGACGTACTTTCAAAAAATTTAACAAAAGGAGACACAGAGGCCTCAATTATCAGACCGATTAATTAAATAATTAATAAGTTTGCATGGCTCCATGTGCAAAGTCTAATTAATGAAATAATAAAGAAAGTAGACTAACGTCTTGCAGGACCACCTATAAGAAAAAAAATGAAAAAACGAGATAAGTTAAAATAGGTCTAAATTTTGTAAACCTGATGAAGAACACGGTGTTGTGAACTTGCCAATGTCATAGAAACTGCTATTTTTGTCAGTTCTTCGACCACTCATCGAGGATTGAGCTTAAATCAACAATTCGGATTTTACAATTTAGTTATATTAAGAGTTTTACTGTTAAATATTTACTATTTTTTCAACGAAAAAAAAACACCATAAACACAATGTCAACAAAATGTTTACCGCGTCGCTGGCGGTTCGCTTTTTCCTCCGAAACTTAAAACATAAATAAAAAGGAAATTAAAATGCGCACCAATGAAGGCGAAACTAAACGCAAATTAATATAACAAATAATGCTATGCATTCACCATTAAAAATTGCGAAAAAATAACTGTTCACAATAAAACAAAATTTTTATTTCCCTAAAGCTGCCGATTTATTGGTAGGGGGCATTTTTCGCGATATTTTAAACATGCTAGGTTATGAAACTGTTTAAATGCTAATGAAAACGATGAAAAAAGGATTTGAAACCTACAGTAGAAATCGGAGCCATAGTCATAAGTGCTGGACTTGCTTCGTTGCCAACCTATTTTTTTTGGAATATTTTATTTCAGTACATTCTTCCCAGAACATAAAATATAAATTTAAATTTAAATTTATTTCCATTTACCTTTGCCCTTTTCCCTAGTGCCTCTACCTTGAGGTCGTTCAGCTAGAAAATAGCAAAGTCTTATTAATATACTCTCTCTCTATCTCTCTCCCCACAACGCTTCGCCACTGGGATTAGATTAGTTGAAATCGCAATGACTCCAATGCAGTTTCTACTAATTGGGTTAAAGTGGAGTTTGCTCGTGTGTTGAGTTTTGCCAGGAGTTAGTTAAATTATGCAAGTGTGAGCTTACCATGCGAGGGTGCTATAATGGCGGATAATTTTGAGCACAGAGTTTAAGATAATGAATTTGCTGGGTTCTAATTATTTAATTGTAAATAAGTCGATATTCCTTAATAGTTATAGCTAATTGAAAACTAAAGCCAAGACACCTTAAGATTTTCACAATTGCCTTATTAATTATACGTTATTATTGCATGACCTATAAAAATATTGAATAAGATCATTTTTTAAAATATTACTAAATTACTTCTCTAAAACCCATTTTCAAATTTGTAGCATATAAGAAGATGACATACCATATTTCAACACAACTGGTTTATTCCTTGAGTAGCCACCTTTTGTATCTGGAACAAAGTTAACAAGATAAATTTCTAGAAACGTCCTTTTAGGCTTTATCTGGGAGATTTAAATTGGTAGTATTTATCAAGGATGAATTTCATAAGTCCATTTTCGTGGACTAGATAAATGCATCCCAAACGAGCCACCATAGTTTATCATGCGTTTGTTTGAAGGAAGTACAGTTGAAAGCATTATAAGTAAGAAAATGCGCAAAGGCTTGAAGGATAAAAAATGGAAGATATGGACTCACAAGCCCCAGCAACCATGTTTTCGAGGTAGGCGCAGGACTGTCTGTTGGGGGTTCAATAACTCTGTCACGAGTTAAAGTGAGGAGGTTTTAAATGACTCCATGGCGATGCACTTCATCTCGCCTTTCTATTGGTTCATGCCAACTCATACTCATGAATCGGGGACTCGCGTGTGGGTTCGCACTGAAAATGTTGAATATTCTAATAGGGTTTTATGGGGGCCTACTTTTACCCAGTGTAATGGTAAAATAGATGAGATGAATGTCTTAATTCAATTAAATATGCAATTATTTAAAATTGATAATATGTGAGTAGGCAAAAATTCATCCCCATTTCACTATTTTAATAATTAATTGGTGTGGATTGAAAAGTAACATCCGACTCTCAGTATTATTGATTTAATAATGAGAAGAGCTAATTGAGCTATTAGTCTTAGCAACGTCTACATTACTTGCAGAAGAAGAACTTAATATGGTCCAACAGCCTTCATTCAGGCAAACATAATTGCCTCACTCACTGGATTGCTATTTTTATAATTTACTAAGCAAAAAGTCTTATGTCTACTCTCCTCTGTTTAAACCTTCAGTACACACTGTTAGCACAACTTAGGGGAATATTCATTGGCTTTTAAGAACTTAAAAATCAAATTTATAGATCGACTTTAAATGCCTTATTGATAATTTATGTCTTATTGGAAGCTATTGATTTTTGTTTTCTGAGAGATTTCTACTTTAATAATGTTCGAATAGTGGGGTGCGTAATAGACTTACCTCCACGTGGTGCACCCTGGGCAACGTATACTCATACGGAAAAAAAGTCTGTTAACTGGCAGTTGACTTCTCCCTTCAAACTACCATCACCCCACTCTATGTCATATTCCACTACTTCCACAGTAATCACCTCACTTTTTCTACCTTTGTGTCTGTCTCTTTTACATCTTTGAAACACTCTTCTGTTCCCCCCTCTCGAGTCTTCTTCACTTTAATATTTCTTCACCTCTGTGAAGCCCGAAGTCAACTAAAGGGTTAATGATTACTATCAAAACGCCTGCCACTTGGTAAAAATAGGTAACTTTCCTTGAATATGGTGTTGGTATCTGTTGTTTCATGCTATCAACTATCTTCAAAGGTGTAGGAGGATGTAAAAGCAGAGGAAATTCCCATCTTTTCTTGATGTTCACAATTCTTTCTTTCAGTGAGATTGTGCATGATGGTATCTCAGCTTCTACTTAAGGCACGGTACGTTTACGCTTACCCGATGGGTGATGGTACTAACAATCGCTTTCCCATTGACAGGATTGCTAGTCTAGCCTTCTACAATCCTTCAGTGGAAACGTGCTCGATAGCTTAATCGTAATTTTTAACCATTGGTTTTAGTTTTACAAATAATGACAACATAGTTCCTTCAATTTTTTTACAAAATGGAATAGATATCTTCGCGATGCATAAAAACGACGACTGTGATGACATGGGAAGCAGATGATACAACTGCGCAGACTAGCTGAGTGTAGTACTGAGACGGGATACGTTGGCTTGCCAAAGCGTGCGCTTTCACATTTGCTGTGCCATGTGGTTCAGAGGACAGGTCAGTAAAGGGGAAATGTAAATATAGGTCAAAGGAAGGGCTAATGGCAGATCAATATTTCACTATATTGACGCGATTTAGTCATACATGAAATTAACGAGTCCGCGTAGTTCAAAGAAATGCTTTGAAAAATATGTGAAATAGGAGTTGGTACTTGGACTGAGTTTTTGCGGGTTTATTAAAGTAATGCTAACAGTGAGGAGTCAAGAAAGGCTAAAAACGCAGAAGAACTATTTTTTATTTTAGATTAAAGAGTAGACATAATCATCGAACCAGAGGGGAAAAGAAGAGAGTTCGGTTCCAATGGGAAGAGTTAAACGCAAGGAAAAAACTGAACAATTTTGAATAGATATTAATTTTGGATAGGACCCAAGGTCATTATCTAGGTAAACGTGTGCTTATTTGGCATTGTTTAACCACAATTCTACTAGAGTGATCATATTTATCAACTTACTCTGAATTTTCACACTAATTTTCGCCTACATTACCCCTCTATTAGTCAACGCGACCTTATTATTCGTTTCGTCACCGGAGATATCGTATCATTTGTGGAGTATGGTCAAGTAACTCCTGCATCAAATACCACACTGAGGCCCAAGCAGCTTATTACCGGGCTGCAAGACTGTAAACTCCCTTGTAGACATGTGGATGCGGAAACGTGGCCGGGACACTGGTAGCAGACAATAAGTTAATAAATTGTCCACTGAAAAGAATTAAATAGCACAAATGTTTAATAAAAGTCCCAGAAAGGGATACTTTAATGCATTTCGGGTTAAGAGTTTTCATTTCACGTGTGGATTATATCATACCAATAAACGCGTCTGAGAAGTGAGCAAATGTATATTCTTCAGCATATTTGATTTTTTTTAAAACACTCAGTTATGTAGAGCAAAAATTTTCCAGGTAACTGATAATTTCGGCATAGTTTCCGGGAGATGAGCGAAATAAAAATCATGACTGTGAAACTGTCAGATCGCCTCACAGTTTACTCTAAATTTGGAACTGAAATATTGCTTAGACATCCTACTTATAAATCATTAAGTAACAGTGACGGAAACATTATTATTTCAAATGGCAGGCTTTATGATATTTATCATTATCCCTTAAACTTTGACTTCAGCTTCCCCCAATAGTAGG